AATAGGTAGTTTTAATAACAAATATTTGTTTAAATTTTTTTATTGATTTTGTAGAGGTTTTTCTTTCAAAAACTTGTTTATTATTCAATAGAGAAATTTATGTTGTATTTTATGTTTAAATTTTTTAAAGTTAAACTTTTCTTGTAGAGAGGGAAATGGGGGTCAGTAAAAGCATAATGAACTTAAAAAAATATATTTTCATTAAAAAAGCTGGTGGTTATTAAAAACGATTCGAGAACAATTAATAAACAAAGAAGAGTTTTTTTTAAATAAAATTTAAATATATACGAGTATAAGTTTTAAAACTTAAAAGTTTAATTGAAATAAAGTGTTAAGTGTTTGTAATTTGTATAGAGAAAGTATGTATGTATTTTGTATAAATATTGGAAATGTATGTTTATGTAAGCTGATTTTATATAAATTATATGAACGTATGTATGTATGTGTATTTATAAGTTGTTTTTAATAGTTAAAGTTAAATATGTTGGTATTTATGAGTTATTTTGTTTAAAACAACAAAACTAAAAAAAAAGTTTAAAATTAAATAAAACTAAAACAAAATAAAACTTTATGCTTGTTGTTTCTATTGATTGATCTTTTTGTTGGTTTTTCTTTTTGAATTTTCTTTTAGGGGGAAGGTTAATCATTGTGTATACTATACCTTTGACCTGTAATGTGGCTGTATATTTTATTTCAGCTGCTGGATTTTTGGCCACACATGTATATTCACCAGAATGTGAAGCCGATAGTGAAGGTATGCTTAGTAACGAGGAATATTGATCTAACATGGTAACATTGGCCCCCAATAGATCTGGCAATGTTTCACCATCTTTGAGCCACCACAACTTGAGGGGGGCATCACCACTTGATACACCACAAACGGTGCGGGTGCGCATACCTTCAGCTAAACCATCTTGAAAGGCAAATGGTTCTATAATAGGGGGAACTGTAATAATACCAAAAAAGAGAACAGAGAAAAAACAAAATCTAAATGTCTAGTAAACAACACAATTGCAAAAAATCAATTCGTTCGTTGCCATCAAACATAACAGTTTTGTTCAATCATCCTTGTAGATTCAACAGCCATAACCGCTTCCGCTTTTATTTACTCCATTCGCAAATGACCTAAAGTTATTATGAATGAAATGTTTTATATCAATAAAACTACTTGTAAATTAACTGCAGCGCTTTCAAAAATGAATTTTTCTTTTTTAAAAAATTCATTACGAAAAAAAAATTTTAAATACATTTGTTTTTGAATATATCATAAAAATAAACACAATTACTATAAATAAATCTTCGCAGTTTTAATAAGTTTTCTTTGGTTAACGAATAAAAACGTGTATTTACATTTAAAAATATTTGCTAAAATATATAAAATCTTTAACTGAAGTATAAATACTTGAGAAATATTTAAATGAAATGTTAATTAAAACTACTTATACAGACATAACATGAAGGAAAAGTTAAAAGATTTTTTTTATAAAAAACTGTGTTTAATATTACATTTATACATATTCTAATTATAATTTTCTTTTTTTTATAATAAGATAAAAAAAGTGTTACTATAATTTGTAAGAGATTAATAATTAAAATTGTATTTGAGGTGCATACAAATTCTACTTATTTTTAAGTTTGAAGGAAAAAAATCTTAATGAAATATACAAAAACATTCATATGAGTGATAGTAATAATTTTATAAAAACATTCTATAGAACAAAATTCAAAAATTTGGGTTTTGGCAATAAATTGAAAATATAGTATACTTATGGTTTTATTTCCTCCAACATTTCTGGACTTTTCAGTGATGGTAAAAGTTCAATACATAATGTAAAGTTTTCAATTAGAACTCAACGAACTAGACTTAACTAGAACTGAACTAGAACTGAACTGAACTAGAACTAGAACTGAACTAGAACTGAACTAGAACTGAACTAGAACTGAACTAGAACTGAACTAGAACTGAACTAGAACTGAACTAGAACTGAACTAGAACTGATCTAGACTGAACTAGAACTGAACTAGAACTGAACTAGAACTGAACTAGAACTGAACTAGAACTGAACTAGAACTGAACTAGAACTGAACTAGAAACTGAACTGAACTAGAACTGAACTAGAACTGAACTAGAACTGAACTAGAACTGAACTAGAACTGAACTGAACTGAACTAGAACTGAACTAGAACTGAACTAGAACTGAACTAGAACTGAACTAGAACTGAACACTAGAACTGAACTAGAACTGAACTAGACTGAACTAGAAACTGAAACTAGAACTGAACTAGAAACTGAACTAGAACTGAACTAGAACTGAACTAGAACTGAACTAGAACTGAACTAGAACTGAACAGAACTGAACTAGAACTGAACTAGAACGGAACTAGAACTGAACTAGAACTGACTAGAACTGAACTAGAACTGAACTAGAACTGAACTAGAACTGAACTAGAACTGAACTAGAACTGAACTAGAACTGAACTAGAACTGACTAGAACTGAACTAGAACTGAACTAGAACTGAACTAGAACTGAACTAGAACTGAACTAGAACTGAACTAGAACTGAACTAGAACTGGAACTAGAACTGAACTAGAACTGAACTAGAACTGAACTAGAACTGAACTAGAACTGAACTAGAACTGAACTAGAACTGAACTAGAACTGAACTAGAACTGAACTAGAACTGAACTAGAACTGAACTAGAACTGAACTAGAACTGAACTAGAACTGACTAGAACTGAACTAGAACTGAACTAGAACTGAACTAGAACTGAACTAGAACTGAACTAGAACTGAACTAGAACTGAACTAGAACTGAACTAGAACTGAACTAGAACTGAACTAGAACTGAACTAGAACTGAACTAGAACTGAACTAGAACTGAACTAGAACTGAACTAGAACTGAACTAGAACTGAACTAGAACTGAACTAGAACTGAACTAGAACTGAACTAAACTGAACTAGAACTGAACTAGAACTGAACTAGAACTGAACTAGAACTGAACTAGAACTGAACTAGAACTGAACTAGAACTGAACTAGAACTGAACTAGAACTGAACTAGAACTGAACTAGAACTGAACTAGAACTGAACTAGAACGAACTAGAACTGAACTAGAACTGAACTAGAACTGAACTAGAACTGAACTAGAACTGAACTAGAACTGAACTAGAACTGACTAGAACTGAACTAGAACTGAACTAGAACTGAACTAGAACGGAACTAGAACGACTAGAATGACTAGAACTGAACTAGAACTGAACTAGAACTGAACTAGAACTGAACTGAACTGAACTAGAACTGAACTAGAACTGAACTAGAACTGAACTAGAACTGAACTAGAACTGAACTAGAACTGGGAACTAGAACTGAACTAGAACTGAACTAGAACTGAACTAGAACTGAACTAGAACTGAACTAGACTGAACTAAGACTGAACTAGAACTGAACTAGAACTGAACTAGAACTGAACTAGAACTGAACTAGAACTGAACTAAACTGAACTAGAACTGAACTAGAACTGACTAGAACGAACTAGAATGAACTAGAACTGAACTAGAACTGAACTAGAACTGAACTAGAACTAGAACTGAACTAGAACTGAACTAGAACTGAACTAGAACTGAACTAGAACTGAACTAGAACTGAACTAGAACTGAACTAGAACTGAACTAGAACTGAACTAGAACTGAACTAGAACTGAACTAGAACTGAACTAGAACTGAACTAGAACTGAACTAGAACTGAACTAGAACTGAACTAGAACTGAACTAGAACTGAACTAGAACTGAACTAGAACTGAACTAGAACTGAACTAGAACTGAACTAGAACTGAACTAGAACTGAACTAGAACTGAACTAGAACTGAACTAGAACTGAACTAGAACTGAACTAGAACTGAACTAGAACTGAACTAGAACTGAACTAGAACTGAACTAGAACTGAACTAGAACTGAACTAGAACTGAACTAGAACTGAACTAGAACTGAACTAGAACTGAACTAGAACTGAACTAGAACTGAACTAGAACTGAACTAGAACTGAACTAGAACTGAACTAGAACTGAACTAGAACTGAACTAGAACTGAACTAGAATGAACTGAACTAGAACTGAACTAGAACTGAACTAGAACTGAACTAGAACTGAACTAGAACTGAACTAGAACTGAACTAGAACTGAACTAGAACTGAACTAGAACTGAACTAGAACTGAACTAGAACTGAACTAGAACTGAACTAGAACTGAACTAGAACTGAACTAGAACTGAACTAGAACTGAACTAGAACTGAACTAGAACTGAACTAGAACTGAACTAGAACTGAACTAGAACTGAACTAGAACTGAACTAGAACTGAACTAGAACTGAACTAGAACTGAACTAGAACTGAACTAGAACTGAACTAGAACTGAACTAGAACTGAACTAGAACTGAACTAGAACTGAACTAGAACTGAACTAGAACTGAACTAGAACTGAACTAGAACTGAACTAGAACTGAACTAGAACTGAACTAGAACTGAACTAGAACTGAACTAGAACTGAACTAGAACTGAACTAGAACTGAACTAGAACTGAACTAGAACTGAACTAGAACTGAACTAGAAACCTGAATCTAGAACTATACTAGAACTGAACTAGAAACTGAACTAGAACAGTGACTAGAACTGAACTAGAACTGAACTAGAACTGAACTAGAACGACTAGAACTGGAAATGAAAACTAGACCTGAACGAGTAACTGAACTGGAACTGAACTAAACTGAACTAGATCTGAACCAGAACTGAACTAGAACACTGAAAGAACTGAACTAGTACTGAACAAGACCTAAAACTAAGTTGCCAGAATTTAGTTTGAACTAAAACTAAACTGTTTAAAATCTTGTTCCCCTATATTTTCAATTTATTATTTGCCACCAAAAGAAATACCCGAAAAAAATGTAAACGAACCCAAAAAAATACTCAAAAGCTTATAAAAAAAAACATTAAATTATTTGTTTACCATTAACCAATAAAGATTGTGAATTTTCCACTTCAGCTGCTGAATTGCGTACCACACACGAATAGTTTGCCCGTATGATCGATCCTAAATTTTCAATAACCAAAATACTATTGTATTGATCGACCTGTTTAACGGACATATGATGTTGAGAGGTCTCAATAGCGCGATTGTCCTTGCGCCAAGTAATAGTCAAAGGCAGATCACCCTTGACCACGGAACAGGTGAGAGAAGCGCGATCACCCATATTCAATTGTAATTGTGACGATTGGAAGGGACTTAATTTTGGTGGTACTAATAGGATAAAAAAGTTTTATTATATAAATTTAATTGCAACATAAAAGCAAAAAACATTTAAAAGCATCAAAGTGTTATATATTCAAAAAAAGTTCAAACAATAAAGTATAAATAAAATACTTAAACACATAAATAGTTTTACTGCAAAAGAGCTAGCGAAAAAAGTTTCCATATGGTTTTGAAAAAAGTTATGTATGTTGTTGGTTAAACACACAGTAAATACAACATGTATGTTGTTAAACAAAAAGTTTAAGTTTTGAAATGAATTGTTTATACAACTTCTTTTATGTTTTTATATCCTTTTTTATGACAGGTATGTTAACAAAACAATTACACGATGTTGATGGCGATGATTGTATTACTTTTCTTTGTTATTTTTTACACTCTGCTAAAAAATTTTATGATTATGATAATTGAAATAGACAAGAGAATTTAAAGTTGATTTTTCCCTAAATTGTTTATACTAACCAATAACTGTCACTTCGCCACTCCTGCGAGCACTATGGCCCTGTTTATTGCGAGCCCAGCAAGTATACACTCCCGAATCAGTACTCTTCTGCACCGGTGTTATAGTTAAGGAACCATCTGGCTGTACTCTCTGGCGGATATCATCGGGCAATTCGCGACCACCACGTTCCCAGTGAATTTCTTCGATGGGATAACCGGCTACGGGACATTTTAAATTTAAAGTTTCACCTGAGACTGCTGTTACTTTAGGAATTATGCGTATATAAGGAAGACCTGTAAATAGTTTATATAAGAAATGGTTAGATGCATCTTTATATGTAGGTATATTACACAAAAAATAAACTATAATTATTTATTTGAGTCCTAGCAATTTAAAATATTATACTCTGCCATTACGAAATTAGTTTTGCAGGTAAAATCATAAACGCTTTGTACTATTTCATAAAATAAATAGAAATAACCCGCATTTCAAATCTGTAGTTGCAAAAATATGAGATAAGTAAATACATAAGTATATGTGTATATTAGGGTATTTTTTGGCACAAGAAGTGAACTGAACTAGAGGTAGAACTAGAATCTTGAAACTGAACTAAAACTGCACTAGAACTGAACTAGAACTGAACTAGAACTGAACTAGAACTGAACTAGAACTGAACTAGAACTGAAACTGAACTGAACTAGAACTGAACTAGAACTGAACTAGAACTGAACTAATGAACTAGAACGACTAGAACTGAACTAGAGAACTGAACTAGAACTGAACTAGAACTGAACTAGAATGAACTAGACCTAGAACTTGAACTAGAACTGAACTAGAACTGAACTAGAACTGAACTAGAACTGAACTAGAACTGAACTATGAACTAGAACTGAACTAGAACTGAACTAGAACTGAACTAGAACTGAACTAGAACTGAACTAGAACTGAACTAGAACTGAACTAGAACTGACTAGAACTGAACTAGAACTGAACTAGAACTGAACTAGAACTGAACTAGAACTGAACTAGAACTGAACTAGAATGAACTAGAACTGAACTAGAACTGAACTAGAACTGAACTAGAACTGACTAGAACTGAACTAGAACTGAACTAGAACTGAACTAGAACTGAACTAGAACTGAACTAGAACTGACTAGAACTGAAACTAGAACTGAACTAGAACTGAACTAGAACTGAACTAGAACTGAACTAGAACTGAACTAGAACTGAACTAGAACTGAACTAGAACTGAACTAGAACTGAACTAGAACTGAACTAGAACTGAACTAGAACTGAACTAGAACTGAACTAGAACTGAACTAGAACTGAACTAGAACTGAACTAGAACTGAAACTAGAACTGAACTAGAACTGAACTGAACTGAAATAGAACTGATATGTACTAGAACTGAACTAGAACTGAACTAGAACTGAACTAGAACTGAACTAGAACTGAACTAGAACTGAACTAGAACTGAACTAGAACTGAACTAGAACTGAACTAGAACTGAACTAGAACTGAACTAGAACTGAACTAGAACTGAACTAGAACTGAACTAGAACTGAAATAGAACTGAAATAGAACTGAATAGAACTGAACTAGAACTGAAATAGAACTGAACTAGAACTGAACTAGAACTGAACTAGAACTGAACTAGAAACTGAACTAGAACTGAAATAGAACTGAAATAGAACTGAAATAGAACTGAAATAGAACTGAACTAGAACTGAACTAGAACTGAACTAGAACTGAACTAGAACTGAACTAGAACTGAAATAGAACTGAAATAGAACTGAAATAGAACTGAACTAGAACTGAACTAGAACAGAATAATTTGGATAAATTTCATATCCTTAAATTCTCACCTCTAGTCAGACGGACAGACAAACGTTTTGATGTTGCATTTATATAAAAAGACACCCTAATGTACATACAGACGTGCACATCATTCCATTTAAACCACACTAAACACATGAACTTACACACAACTCCCGAGTTTATGTGAGTGTGAAAAACGACACAAACACAAATGAAAAAAAAAAAGACAGAAAGAAATCAGAGAATAATTTGTATGACCAGCTAAAAGGGACAGTTTAGATTTCTTTTCCAATGCAAACAACTACAAATGTAATTTTTATCTATATAGGCCAAATGTACATATATAAAAAAGTATGTATGTGTTTGCAGAAAAATATGTGATTGTTTGTATATAAGTACTTGTTCATACATATACGTATAGAAAATATAGTGCAACCTGTAAATATGTGTTTATTGGTTTTTGTGTGGAAGTCTATATACAATATGTATGTATGTGAAAAACATTTGCAACAAACAGAAAAAATAACAACCATTTATGACATTTAAAAATGTCACAAAAGTTTCATAAAAAATTTAAAACATCCTTATTTACAGAAAAATGAAATGTGTTACAAAAACTAACAGAGTTTTAAATAACACACTCGAATACATAAATATAAATAGTATGTATGTATATCAAACACGAAAAACATATTTTGTGTAATTTAACCTATAAATAGGATGTTACAGAAGCAGATATTTCAACCTAAAAACTTTTAAGTAAAATATCATCTAGACAGTATTACTGTAAGCAAATATATACTAAATCGGTAAACAAAGGAAATCTATGAAAGTAAACTAGTACTGAGGTAGTTTTACAACACTTATTGTCCTACCCTTTTAAATTTCAACATTTTCCCTTTAGCTTATAAAAACATTTTTTATAAATTCCGTATAAATATGAAATTTCAACAAATGCTGTTATTGTTCTCTTTTTTTGTATTTATTTGTAACAAATGCTTTAAAAATGCTAATTTCAGCAAAAAGTAAAAAAATAGTGAAACTAAAACTTTGCCCAAATATTAACTTACCATAAATATTTAAACGTGCTGCATGTTGCACTCTCCCAGCTCGATTTTCAGCAATACATGCATACTCGCCCCCATCCTCTACCATAACATGTGTGATATTAACATGACTGATTACATCACCGTGAACGGTGATATACTGTCCCATCATAAATCTGTTTTAAATAAAATGAAATAGAAAAATAAGGCGAATTTTAAATTAAATTGTACAAATATTAATCGGTATGTTACAGTTATGTGTAAAATGGAATTTAATGAAAACATATTCAATGTATATTATAAAATATTTTTTATAAGAAAGAAACAAATTAAACAATTAATGGATAGGGTTTAAAGTTCCAATACAGCTTTTCGAACTAGAACTGAACTAGAACTGAACTAGAACTGAACTAGAACTGAACTAGAACTGAACTAGAACTGAACTAGAACTGAACTAGAACTGAACTAGAACTGAACTAGAACTGAACTAGAACTACGAACTGAACTAGAACTGAACTAGAACTGAACTAGAACTGAACTAGAACTGAACTAGAACTGAACTAGAACTGAACTAGAACTGAACTAGAACTGAACTAGAACTGAACTAGACTGAACTAGATACTGAACTAGAACTGAACTAGAACTGAACTAGAACTGAACTAGAACTGAACTAGAACTGAACTAGAACTGAACTAGAACTGAACTAGAACTGAACTAGAACTGAACTAGAACTGAACTAGAACTGAACTAGAACTGAACTAGAACTGAACTAGAACTGAACTAGAACTGAACTAGAACTGAACTAGAACTGAAACTAGAACTGAACTAGAACTGAACTAGAACTGAACTAGAACTGAACTAGAAACTGAACTAGAACTGAACTAGAACTGAACTAGAACTGAACTAGAACTGAACTAGAACTGAACTAGAACTGAACAGAACTGAACTAGAACTGAACTAGAACTGAACTAGAACTGAACTAGAACTGAACTAGAACTGAACTAGAACTGAACTAGAACTGAACTAGAACTGAACTAGAACTGAACTAGAACCTGAGAACTGAACACTGAACTAGAACTGAACTAGAACTGAACTAGAACTGAACTAGAACTGACTAGAACTGAACTAGAACTGAACTAGAACTGAACTAGAACTGAACTGAACTAGAACTGAACTAGAACTGAACTAGAACTGAACTAGAACTGAACTAGAACTGAACTAGAACTGAACTAGAACTGAACTAGAACTGAACTAGAACTGAACTAGAACTGAACTAGAACTGAACTAGAACTGAACTAGAACTGAACTAGAACTGAACTAGAACTGAACTAGAACTGAACTCGAACTGAACTAGAACTGAACTAGAACTGAACTAGAACTGAACTAGAACTGAACTAGAACTGAACTTGAACTGAACTAGAACTGAACTAGAACTGAACTAGAACTGAACTAGAACTGAACTAGACTGACTGAACTAGAACTGAACTAGAACTGAACTAGAACTGAACTAGAACTGAACTAGAACTGAACTAGAACTGAACTAGAACTGAACTAGAACTGAACTAAAGCTGAACTAGAGCTGAACTAGAACTGAACTAGAACTGAACTAGAACTGAACTAGAACTGAACTAGAACTGAACTAGACTGAACTAAAACTGAACTAGAACTAGAACTGAACTATAACTGAACTAGAACTGAACTAGAACTGAACTAGAACTGAACTAGAACTGAAACTAGAACTGAACTAGAACTGAACTAGAACTGAACTAGAACTGAACTAGAACTGAAATAGAACTGAACTAGAACTGTACTAGAACTGAACTAGAAATGAACTAGAACTGAACTAGAACTGAACTAGAACTGAACTAGAAACTGAACTAGAACTGAACTAGAACTGAACTAGAAATGAACTAGAACTGAACTAGAACTGAACTAGAACTGAACTAGAAATGAACTAGAACTGAACTAGAAATGAACTAGAACTGAACTAGAACTGAACTAGAACTGAACTAGAAACTGAACTAGAACTGAACTAGAACTGAAATAGAACTGGACTAGAATACTAGAACTAGACTGAACTAGAACTGAACTAGAACTGAACTAGAACTGAACTAGAACTGAACTGAACTAGAACTGAACTAGAACTGAACTAGAACTGAACTAGAACTGAACTAGAACTGAACTAGAACTGAACTAGAACTGAACTAGAACTGAACTAGAACTGAACTAGAACTGAACTAGAACTGAACTAGAACTGAACTAGAACTGAACTAGAACTGAACTACAACTGAACTAGAACTGAACTAGAACTGAACTAGAACTGAACTAGAACTGAACTAGAACTGAACTAGAACTGAACTAGAACTGAACTAGAACTGAACTAGAACTGAACTAGAACTGAACTAGAACTGAACTAGAACTGAACTAGAACTGAACTAGAACTGAACTAGAACTGAACTAGAACTGAACTAAACTGAACTAGAACTGAACTAGAACTGAACTAGAACTGAACTAGAACTGAACTAGAACTGAACTAGAACTGAACTAGAACTGAACTAGAACTGACTAGAACTGAACTAGAACTGAACTAGAACTGAACTAGAACTGAACTAGAACTGAACTAGAACTGAACTAGAACTGAACTAGAACTGAACTAGAACTGAACTAGAACTGAACTAGAACTGAACTAGAACTGAACTAGAACTGAACTAGAACTGAACTAGAACTGAACTAGAACTGAACTAGAACTGAACTAGAACTGAACTAGAACTGAACTAGAACTGAACTAGAACTGAACTAGAACTGAACTAGAACTGAACTAGAACTGAACTAGAGCTGAACTAGAACTGAAATAGAACTGAACTAGAACTGAACTAGAACTGAACTAGAACTGAACTAGAACTGAACTAGAACTGAACTAGAACTGAACTAGAACTGAACTAGAACTGAACTAGAACTGAACTAGAACTGAACTAAAACTGAACATTAAAATTAGTTATACATTACTTTTACATGGACCTATTTTGATCTCCTTCAGATGATCAATTTGTTGTCAATTGATCGCTCTAATATAGCTGTTTTAATAGAAAATCGGTCATTAATCCAAGATTTCGTTAAAGCCCACAAGCTGATCTAATGTTCGAGTTCAGTAAACCACGTTTCATATTAATAATAAGATTCTTAAATTTAAAAGATTGATTTCTGGTTCCCTTATAAGGATGTCTTCCGCAATTCACTGTTCCAAGGTATTTTAGTGTTTTAATTTAATATTCTCTTAAATACGAATAAAACAACTTATAGTATTAAAATATTGAAGCAAAGAAAATTATTGCTTTAAGCCACTGCTAGAAAATATAAATAAAAATAAAAAGTCCTATGACAGAATAAAAACTCCACTAAATATTTACAGAGGCCCACAACTTCAACATCAACAGCAGCAAATAATTTTAATTAAAACTTAAACCAACATACAGTCGCAGTCATAGTCACAGTGAAAGCGTGACGTTAAGGCAACAGTATTGAAGTTTTTTTTTTTTTTTTTTTTTTTGTTATTTTGTTTACATGTTCTTTATTTCTCTCGGTTTGTACATGTACTTTTGACTAGAGTTGCCAGATAACAATGTATTAATTATTTCTACAGAAAATCTTAAACTTTGCGGATAATACTATAGATCGGGTTCTTAGTAGTTGGAACTGATAACATCTAAGTTGATTTTATATACATATATCATAAACGGTGACTTAGTTCAGTCAGAACGATCTTTAAAAAATGTGTTCTATAAACCCGGCAACTCTTTTCACTGTATATTTATACAGCCATTCACTCTTCTATGGTTTACGAATATGAAGGGGGTAATTAAAAATTCGTAAGTACCTTTACTTTTTTTTCGTCTCCATTTCTGTTTTTATTTTTCTTTATCCTCTATGTTTTTCTTCGCTGTTGCTCTTACTTTAGGCTCTTATATACGACTGGGTATATATCCCATTCCTTTCAGACATTTTTACACATATTTTTTTTTTTAGTTTTCATAGGCTTACTCAGAAAGTTTCTTGTTTGTCTTTTTATTTTATAAATTTTGTTGGATTTTTCTATTTTATGAGTTGCGTTCAGAGTAACTATTAAAAGCATTTATTAAGATAAATCTACAATAATTACATAAATATCCATGTGTAGATATAAACAGTTAAATCCGCAATAGTTGTGTAGACTTATGTATGTAGTTTTAATCAGCTTAAAATTTTTCATTTATAAGTTTATATCATTCTGTGATGTTTTGCTAGAAATTTTATTGATCCTACAAAAACCTGAGTTTATGTAAATTTATTTGCCATCAACTCAACCTCCGGTTAGCGTTTAACCGGTAGATATTTTGTTGATTAAAACAATTATTCTACGAATACTGTCAATATAACGTTTCGATTAAAAAACAAGTAATAAGTAATGGGCATGACCGACTATATGAACATAATTATGACCTCAAAAACCCGATTTCTGCCATTTTCAATAGCTTTCGTCCTTGGAGCAAAAGAGGTATACTTCGCAAATTTCATCAAAAATTGTCTTGAAAATTGCGACCTGTATCATGTGCAAAAGTTTTAAATGGACACATAGTCGGACGGATGGACATACGGATGGACGGACGGACAGACAGATAGTCAAACGGACAGACAAGATGTTTATGTGCTTAACGTGAATACCTGCCTTGACGGCCTTATTTCACGGTGGTCTTTTTCACTCACTGGATAGACTTTAGACGGTCTACCACTCGCCTCTGAATCCTTCTATGAAGTTTTTGTAGATGGCTTTGCCGGTCCAAGTACAAGCACTTCGCTGAAGTACTCGAGCTATATAATCTCTTGCCATAGTATCCCCGTTGCGAAATGACAGGCAGCATTGAATCAATCCCAAATCAAACCCCGACAAGGAAAAAGCAATCATTGGTCTAAAGTCAATAGAAGGAGAGACAGCCCCAAGATCAGATGAAATCAATCTTCCGGTATACTGGAAGGTGACCACCCTTGTGTTGTCATGAAAGATTGCATTATTTAAAATGCAATCCCCATCAACTGATGACCCATTCCAGTACATTCCTTAACCTTTTAAATCCCGCGCAACCACACTACTGAAATGGCCCTGTTGATTCCGTAACAGCACCTAGAGTCGTATTTGATAGTC